CAAGGCTTATTCCTCTAAGAAAAATGAGGAGTAGATGTAAAACAGAAAGAGACAGGCGCTCCTTTACAGGCGACGGAAAAGAATAACAGAGCGGCTAAAAGAGGTCAATATATCTGAAATGCGTAGGGAGACACTGGTCAGAGAAATAGCAAGCATCGAACTTAAGCTAAAAGAATCCTTTAGGAGTCAGGAATCGCGGGAAGAACTAAAAGCCATAAATGAAATCGAAAGAAACCCAAAGTATTTCTTCTCCTATGCCAAATCAAAATCGAGAACAACGTCCAGTATTGGGCCCCTACTTCAACAAGATGGGTCCTACACGGATGACAGCAAGGAAATGAGTGAACTACTCAAGTCCCAATATGACTCAGTTTTTAGCAAGCCGCTAACCAGACTGAGAGTCGAAGATCAAAATGAATTTTTTATGAGAGAGCCACAAAATTTGATGAACACAAGCCTATCCGATGTTATCCTGACGCCAAATGACTTCGAACAGGCGATAAATGACATGCCCATGCACTCTGCCCCAGGGCCAGACTCATGGAACTCTGTGTTCATCAAGAACTGCAAGAAGCCCCTATCACGAGCCTTTTCCATCCTATGGAGAGGGAGCATGGACACGGGGGTCGTCCCACAGTTACTAAAAACAACAGACATAGCCCCACTCCACAAAGGGGCAGTAAAGCAACAGCAAAGAACTACAGACCAATAGCACTAACATCCCATATCATAAAAATCTTTGAAAGGGTCCTAAGAAGCAAGATCACCACCCATCTAGAAACCCATCAGTTACACAACCCAGGGCAACATGGGTTTTAGAACAGGTCGCTCTTGTCTGTCTCAACTATTGGATCACTACGACAAGGTCCTAAATGCACTAGAAGACAAAAAGAATGCAGATGTAATATATACAGACTTTGCAAAAGCCTTCGACAAGTGTGACCATGGCGTAATAGCGCACAAAATGCGTGCTAAAGGAATAACAGGAAAAGTCGGTCGATGGATCTATAATTTCCTCACTAACAGAACACAGAGAGTAGTCGTCAACAGAGTAAAGTCCGAGGCAGCTACGGTGAAAAGCTCTGTTCCACAAGGCACAGTACTCGCTCCCATCTTGTTCCTCATCCTCATATCGACATAGACAAGGATGTCAGCCACAGCACCGTGTCTTCCTTTGCAGATGACACCCGAATCTGCATGACAGTGTCTTCCATTGCAGACACTGCAAAGCTCCAGGCGGACATCAACCAAATCTTTCAGTGGGCTGCAGAAAACAATATGAAGTTCAACGATGAGAAATTTCAATTACTCAGATATGGTAAACATGAGGAAATTAAATCTTCATCAGAGTACAAAACAAATTCTGGCCACAAAATAGAGCGAAACACCAACGTCAAAGACCTGGGAGTGATCATGTCGGAGGATCTCACCTTCAAGGACCATAACATTGTATCAATCGCATCTGCTAGAAAAATGACAGGATGGATAATGAGAACCTTCAAAACTAGGGAGGCCAAGCCCATGATGACACTCTTCAGGTCACTTGTTCTATCTAGGCTGGAATATTGCTGCACACTAACAGCACCTTTCAAGGCAGGTGAAATTGCCGACCTAGAAAATGTACAGAGAACTTTCACGGCGCGCATAACGGAGATAAAACACCTCAATTATTGGGAGCGCTTGAGGTTCCTAAACCTGTATTCCCTGGAACGCAGGAGGGAGAGATACATGATTATATACACCTGGAAAATCCTAGAGGGACTAGTACCGAACTTGCACACGAGAATCACTCACTACGAAAGCAAAAGACTTGGCAGACGATGCACCATCCCCCCAATGAAAAGCAGGGGTGTCACTAGCACGTTAAGAGACCATACAATAAGTGTCAGGGGCCCGAGACTGTTCAACTGCCTCCCAGCACACATAAGGGGGATTACCAACAGACCCCTGGCAGTCTTCAAGCTGGCACTGGACAAGCACCTAAAGTCAGTTCCGGATCAGCCGGGCTGTGGCTCGTACGTTGGTTTGCGTGCAGCCAGCAGCAACAGCCTGGTTGATCAGGCTCTGATCCACCAGGAGGCCTGGTCACAGACCGGGCCGCGGGGGCGTTGACCCCCGGAACTCTCTCCAGGTAAACTCCAGGTAGTAGTGTAATGGTCGTAGTAGTAGTAGTGTAATGGTAGTAGTAGTAGTATAATGGTAGTAGTAGTATTAGTAGTAGTGTAATGGTAGTAGTAGTATTAGTAGTAGTGTAATGGCAGTAGTAGTATTGTAATGATCGTAGTAGTGTAATGGTAGTAGTAGTATAATGGTAGTAGTAGTGTAATGGTCGTAGTAGTAGTGTAATGGTAGTAATAGTATAATGGTAGTAGTAGTGTAATGGTAGTAGTAGTAGTGTAATGGTCGTAGTAGTAGTAGTGTAATGGTAGTAGTAGTATTGTAATGATCGTAGTAGTGTAATGGTAGTAGTAGTAGTATAATGGTAGTAGTAGTAGTGTAATGGTAGTAGTAGTGTAATGGTAGTAGTAGTAGTAGTAATTTTTCCAGAGAAAATATACGAAAATATTACAAGTTTGATGCAATGCAGAGCTCTGGAGCAACCCTCCCCTGCCCTGGATCAAACCTGATTACCTCCCACTCCCCAGGTGTTGTGTGGCCCTTTGGGTTTAGCGCCTCCCCATGAATTAAAAAATTAAGTACACCTGCATGGTGCTGCAGCTGCTCGTTGTATAATAATAATAATTAATAATAATAAAAAAAAATAATAATATTAATTTCCAAAGTACCTGTACAAGGTATACAGACCATAACTGACATCAATTACATACTACTATATAGAAAGTCTCTTGTTATGGAGAGCATTTCCCACAAATTAGTAAATTTGTCCCAGGATGCGACCCACACCAGTCCACTACACGATTCCCAGCCGGGGTAGAAACATTGGGCATGTTTCTTTACACTTGTTTTCTATGTTCCCCATCAGTAAAATGGGTAGCTGGGTGTTAGTGGACTGGTATGGGTCACATCCTGGGTGTTAGTGGACTGGTGTGGGTCACATCCTGGGTGTTAGTGGACTGGTGTGGGTCACATCCTGGGTGTTAGTGGACTGGTGTGGGTCACATCCTGGGGGTTAGTGGACTGGTGTGGGTCACATCCTGGGTGTTAGTGGACTGGTATGGGTCACATCCTGGGTGTTAGTGGACTGGTGTGGGTCACATCCTGGGTGTTACTGGACTGGTGTGGGTCGCATCCTGGGTGTTAGTGGACTGGTGTGGGTCGCATCCTGGGTGTTAGTGGACTGGTGTGGGTCACATCCTGGGTGTTAGTGGACTGGTGTGGGTCGCATCCTGGGTGTTAGTGGACTGGTGTGGGTCACATCCTGGGTGTTAGTGGACTGGTGTGGGTCACATCCTGGGTTGTTAGTGGACTGGTGTGGGTCACATCCTGGGTGTTAGTGGACTGGTGTGGGTCACATCCTGGGTGTTAGTGGACTGGTGTGGGTCGCATCCTGGGTGTTAGTGGACTGGTGTGGGTCACATCCTGGGTGTTAGTGGACTGGTGTGGGTCACATCCTGGGTGTTAGTGGACTGGTGTGGGTCACATCCTGGGTGTTAGTGACTGGTGTGGGTCGCATCCTGGGTGTTAGTGGACTGGTGTGGGTCACATCCTGGGTGTTAGTGGACTGGTGTGGGTCACATCCTGGTGTTTAGTGGACTGGTGTGGGTCACATCCTGGGTGTTAGTGGACTTTGTGTGGTCGCATCCTGGGTGTTAGTGGACTGGTGTGGGTCACATCCTGAGTGTTAGTGGACTGGTGTGGGTCACATCCTGGGTGTTAGTGGACTGGTGTGGGTCACATCCGGAGTGTTAGTGGACTGGTGTGGGTCACATCCTGAGTGTTAGTGGACTGGTGTGGGTCACATCCTGGGTGTTAGTGGACTGGTGTGGGTCACATCCTGGGTTTAGTGGACTGGTGTGGGTCACATCCTGAGTGTTAGTGGACTGGTTGTGGGTCACATCCTGAGTGTTAGTGGACTGGTGTGGGTCACATCCTGGGTGTTAGTGGACTGGTGTGGGTCACATCCCGGGTGTTAGTGGACTGGTGTGGGTCACATCCTGAGTGTTAGTGGACTGGTGTGGGTCACATCCTGGGTGTTAGTGGACTGGTGTGGGTCACATCCTGGGTGTTAGTGGACTGGTGTGGGTCACATCCTGTTAGTGGACTGGTGTGGGTCACATCCTGGGTGTTAGTGGACTGGTGTGGGTCACATCCTGGGTGTTAGTGGACTGGTGTGGGTCACATCCTGGGTGTTAGTGGACTGGTGTGGGTCACATCCTGGGTGTTAGTGGACTGGTGTGGGTCACATCCTGAGTGTTAGTGGACTGGTGTGGGTCACATCCTGGGTGTTAGTGGACTGGTGTGGGTCACATCCTGAGTGTTAGTGGACTGGTGTGGGTCACATCCTGAGTGTTAGTGGACTGGTGTGGGTCACATCTTGGGACAAAACTGACCTAATTTGCCTGATATGCTCAGCATAACAAGCAGTTTCCTATATACCAGTAATATGTCACTGATGTCAGCTATGGACTGTATACCTTTACATGTACTTGAAGTAAATAAAGATATTATTATTATTTTACTGGTAGGTGAACATGGACAGCAGATGTGTCTTAGGGAACACGTAATATTACCACCAGTACCGGGGATTGAACCATGGCACTCAATGTTTGAGCTGACTGCAATATTTCTAGAAAGTTAAATACATACTAATACAGTATTTTTTTATTGAGATTTTGCACTCTCGGTGGACTTTGTCGAGTCACTGAGTAAAAACTCCATATAATTACATTTATATATATTATCATCATGGTTCTTGTATCCTATGTTTTCCATATTTCTCGAATATTTCACTATTAATTATTACCACCTGTCTGATCACTCACTGGTATAATTACCCTTACAACAAAGAACAGCTAATAAGTAATGGTTATTTTTTTTGAAGCTTATTAAGAATATAGAGTATTTACATCAGTTTTTATAAGTTTTTCCTAAAAAAGTGAAGTGTAGGAGACGCTCAGTCACTGTGGCGCCTGACACACTGCTGGAGCCTCGCTAATATACGTCTCTCTAGCGTAATTATTATCTCTTTTTATTATATTTTGTAGCAGTTAGAGACACTAATAACTGTAGTATCCTGCCATGATGGTTGTAGAGTCATGGTAGCTGATGGCAGGTCAGGGAGGGTAAAAGTTTCCCCGTCACAAGATGGTCTGATCAACACGTCATTGTTGGTATATTGTTCAAACGTTGATTTTTTGGTTATAGGGAGAAATATTGTTGAATTATCAGTAATTAAGTGTTCAGGGGTTGATTTTGGGTTAATTTGTTTTAGATGAAGGAAGTTGTCATGTGTTAGAGGGATATTTGTAAGTGTATAAGTAGCAAACTGTTAGTCAGACGAGCATAAAACCATCTCCATGTTAACTATATATGCTCTGCTGCCTTGGATCAAATCTTATTACCTTCCATGTACTGTGTTGTGTGAGTCCTGTCTTTTGCACTTCCTCATTAATATGGATTTAATGAATATTTAGTAACCACAGTTGTAATGTCTGTTTGTCATTCAAGGTTACATCTACATAATGTAATATTAAGTCATTTAGTGATTTAGTTAATATTTTGTTCGTATTTTTTTAACTCTGGGAGGATTAATTACCTAAGATAACCCGAGAAAATCAATGTCATAGAGGACTATTTCTTATTTCTATTGTGGTCCTTTTTATTCTTGTCTCCCAGGATGTAACTCACAAGTGACTAACACCCAGGTACCTACTTACTATTAGGTGAACAAGAACTGCAGGTGTAAGGAAACATTCCTAATGTGGCCCATGGTCTGGTAGGCAACACTAGCTTCGCACATTGGGTGTCCATGGTTCGATCCCCGGCATGGATGGAAACGTTGCTCTAGTTTCCTTACACCTGTTCACCTAGTTCACCTAGCAAGTAAATAGGTACCTGGGTGTTAACTAGCTGGTGTCATTTCCCTTTGTCTCATAATCTAAAAAATACAGGATATTGTAATGCTTATTTTTACATCAAATTGATTCTGATGCAGGTGGGAGTTTTTGTTTGTGACAACCATGGCGGAGAGTATGAATCAGGAAGACCTGAAGAGGCTTCAAGGGTTTATTGATGCATGTCGTGAAAATCCTGGAATTCTACAGCTTCCTCAGCTTTCATTCTTCAAGTAAGTGGTTATTGCTAGTTTTTTAGTGATATTCCTTCCAGGTACTATAACAGAATTTAAAGTGTATGTCAAGATTTTCAGAATTTTTTAATCCACCCAAACCAGATTTTTCAAAGCCAACCTCATTTGAATATTGAAAGCTTTAGCTTTCTTTCTAGAAGGAAAATAGACTAAATATGTGGTAATGGTCTAGAATTGCTTTGATTTCTCTTGTATATATTTAGCATTATTTTTCTTGTTTTATAAATGTTAACTGCTGTCAAAAACTCGTAACTTAATTTATTATAGGGAATATCTGCATAGTCTGGGTGCTAATATCCCTTCTGCTGGCTCAAGTTTCAAAACCTCACCACCACCATTTAACGAACCACCAATGCAAGATAGTACACCTGAGCCTACCGTACAAGAGGAGGATGAAGAAAGTGATGTCGAGCTGAATAATGAAGGCGTGATTGGTTAGTTTTGGTAGCCGTGTTTACATTTCTTGACTCAGAATATTTGAAAATCCATTATATCATATATCTAAGGTTCAAGCATTAAAAAATTTCTATTGATTTCAGTAGTAACGCTGAATATTAAATTTTGACATTTGTTTACTCCTCTGTAGAACCTGAAATAGAAGATCCACCTGAGTTAGCAGATGGTGGTAAAGTACCAACAGAAGAGGATATGGATGCAGCTGATGAAAAACGGTCTGAAGCTATGATGGCTTTGGCTGACAATGATTTGCAAAAAGCAGTTGATCTTTTCACAGAAGCAATAAAATTTAATCCAGGTAAGACAAATTAAAATATTGTTACACATGATGGAATTGCTTATATTTGCTTATCATATTTATAAATGTCATTTCAGACCTAATGAAGGCTCTTGATCATTTTTTGTTGAAAAATAAGACTGGTTTTACCAGTGTGAAAATAAAATTGTAATAAACTATTAATAATAGACCTAACTTCATGGCAAACCTTGTTATAGACAATACTTATTGCCCTTATTTATATCTTTATACTGTCTAAATATTAATGCCATTCATATTACTGTCAAACACACCTTTAGAACACCTGTCTTCTGTTTATTCATTATTATTTTGGTGTTGTATTAACATTTTTTATTCATTCCCTCATAATATTGTGCTGAATGAATAACATAAATGTGGTTGCAGATATAAATGTTCATAATTATTCTGGAACTATGTAGCTCCCAGAGTAGAATGACAGGACTGTTTTGTGTGATGCCATTAATTGCAGGGGGGCAAAAAATATGGGGTACATTAAAATGTAGATCTTCAGAGCATATTGAATAAATAGGTGATTGCAGGTGTTGATAATAAGTGTACATGAGAAGCCTTCTACAGCCTCCCTTCTTGTCACCACACTATTCACTCATCTTGTTCCAGTGTACATGAGCAGGTACAAGGTTGATGTGTGTACACAAGTATGGGATTAGGGTGGCAAGAAGTGTGTACATGAGAAGGCATAATGTCAGGTGTGTAGATGAGCAGGTATAAGGTTGACTATGTAAGCAGGGATAAGAGGCTGACAGGACAAGATGGATATATAAATGTAAAGTGGGTAGAGTATAGTATTAGAAATATATTTGGATATGTTGTTATTGTTCTGTACTTCAGATTTGATATACAGTACCTTTGCCTCGTATCCTGTGAAGTTTTATGGGGATAAATTTCTGGAATAATGGCAGTAAGTACATACTTTGGAGTATGAGCAAGGTAACTTATGGAGGGGTAACGTGCAGGAGGGGTGTTGATGTTATAGTTTAAGGGTATTCTGAGTTAATCACTACACCTGTGGCAAGAGAGATTGAATGAATGGGTCACCCTGCCTTGACAGGAGACTGCCATTGAGGTAAAAAAAAAAAAAAAAGTACTGTTGCATATTAAAGGTGATATAATATTCATGGGAGCAGGGAAACAATTGAAGGAAAATTTTCAGATTAAAAAAAAAAAAAAAAAAAAAAAAAAGACTAGCACATTTCAAAGGAATGTTAGTTTCTCTAATTTTTTAAATAGAAAATACTGAAAGACCTATGCTGTCCATACAAAAATAGTGTGATGGATTTTGAAAGGTGGAGATGTTACAACATTCACAAGATGTCTGCTCAAGGAAGGTTCCTTGATGTTGGTGATGGGCTCTTGATTTAGGGAATTGGATCTGTGCTCCAGTTCCCCAAATTAAGCCTGAATGCCTTCCACATTCCCCCCCCCAGGTGCTGTATAATCCTCCGAGTTTAGCGCTTCCCCCTTGATTGTAATAATAATAATAATAATCTCACAAGATGTTATGAAATATTAGATTTGCAATGAGAGGTCTGTAGAGTATTGGAATAAGTTAAGGAATTTGTGTGACTTTCATCTTTACTACATGGAACAGTACATGATGCATTTCAAGTTATAAATACAATTATTAGAGCCCTGGAAGGCATTATGACAGTTAGGTACTTTAATATGACAATGAAAAAGATTATGTAACCTTGTAATATTCTTCCAACTCTGACCTACATGAATGAGACAGGCTATTCACTATTTTAAGTTAAAAATTTTAAATTGAAAACTGTCTTTTAGAATCTGCTATGCTGTATGCTAAAAGGGCAAGTGTGCTTCTGAAACAAAAAAGAGTAAATGCAGCCATCAGGGACTGTAATGAGGCACTCAAGCATAATCCAGACTCGGCTGGAGCTTATAAATTTCGAGGACGAGCACAAAGGTAAAAGCTATCAGGTTTTACTATGTTATTTATTTTCTAGAGGAAATTTGTAGAATATAAAATTTTGAGTAAAAATGGAAATGGAATTGGTGAAAATAATTGGCTTTGGACATTTTGCATCCATCATTGCTATATAGAATTAGTAAAACTAATTAGCTTTAAATGCTTTTCACTTGTCAGTAATATAAAGAGGAGACAAAAATAGCATTCTTTTCAACAGGTACAGTATAATTAAAGGAGTAGGGATGTGTTAAGTGTTCTGTCTATAATTAAATTCCAGATTGGTATTGAACACTTTTCTTTTAATACATTCCAGCAATCTACCCTTTTTTGAAAAGAAATATAATTTAACTATTTTTTTCTTTTAGCTAGTTTCAGAAAATCTTTAACATGTGGCATCATATTTGTTTTATAAACTTTAATACGGGTATCATCTTCCCTTTTTCTTATCTACCAAAAAAATTTTGTTTTTACTCTGTAATGCTTTGTCATTCTGGGATCCATTGTTGATTAAGTGTATTATGCGTAATTCTCTGAGGTTCAACATGCTATTCTAAAATGACTTATTTCTCTCGTACTTGTTTTTGAATCGGTATTAAGTTTATCCACTGACATTGCTTAGTTCATTCCACTTTTACCAATATGATATTGAAAATTCTCTTTTCTTTTATACTCTTCTCACACTGAGTAGTTTCATTTGAATGCTTTTGCATTAAGAGGACTTTTTGAATTTTGTTTCATTAATGTTTTACTAGTCAATATTTTTATATCAAATATTTTTTTGTAAGGTTTCTATTTTAATTTTCCAATTAATTTTTTCCTTCCTCCCTTTAACTTCATTTAGGCTTTATGTAGTATATTCAGTAATTTTTTTTTCTGGGTCTTGGTAGCATTTTCATTTCATTATGCTTTGTGTTTGTTAATTATAGCAGTCTGTTCATATCCATATTTTCCAATTTGCCTGCATCCAGCTATGTGCTCTATGAATGAAATCATTTAACATCTTGTTCTAAATTTTAGTACAGGAGGGCCACACTGCATGGCAGTTTGCTAATACAGACATTTCAAATTACAACCAAGAACTTGTTTGTGGCTTCCTGATTAGCTATCATGGCGTCTGTGCACCGCTGTTTACATTCTCCATGAGCTCTGCGGCTTTCAATTGTCTGGAAACTTTTAAAAATTTCAAGTGTTTTAAGTTATTGCATATTTTGTATATACATACTCTGATAATTGTACTTGCCTGTACCTAAAGAAACATACTACATATCTTATAAACATAATACAACCATAGAACAAATTGACATAAATGAGATGTGGTTGCCAGGTGGCTTGCAACAATGATAGCAAGAATTTTCTCTAGTCCAACACCAGAGAAACTGTTTACAGTGAAGTATTATTCGGGGGGTTAATTGTAGAAAAATATTACATTTGTATACTTTCACTCGTAGCATCATTTGATCTAAAAAAGGTGCTGCATGAGAATGGAAGTGTTTGTTTATTCTACTGAACGAACATGAAGACAACTTGTACACAACGTAAGGTGCTCATATTTTGGGGAAAAACCTTCACAAATGCATGCATTATGCGAAGTGAATGTATATGAACTGTGTTCGCCTGACTGTCCACCACCTGCTAACTAAGTTTGTTGACATTCTTCGCATTTCTCTTGTTTTCTCTCCTTTATATGGCATTCTAAAGTTAATTGTGATATGAAGAAGAGTGTCAAGTTAGAAATGATTAAACTAGGTGAACAAGGTACGTATGTTGATGGCAGTAAGCATAATAATTAATAATTGCTCTGAGGAGCTTTCAATTTTTTGTTTTTAAATTTTATACGAAATATGCTACATGAAGAAAATATTTGCAGTCATTGTAAAACAAACATAATTGTGAGGTGTGGTAGCTGGACGGGCTACCACACCTGACTTGCTGCAATAAATACTTCTCTCCTCTCACTTTAAGACTACAAATGTTTTAAAGTAATGTGTACTGCATGTGCATTTTACTTTTTTTTATGCCTAGTTCTATTGCTAATTTAATATATGATAGTGTAAACATGTTATCAGGCATTTAGACACATGTATACATTTAAAAGTGAAAAAAAAAAGATTCGGTTTACGGCAACTTTTGCTTTACGGCAGAAAGATGGAACCAAACCACCTTGCAAGTGGGGACCCTCCTATGCCTGTATTTTCTCTAATCTTTTACTATTATTGATGTATACATTTCTTTTCTCAGCTTATTCTTTTGATTTTTTTGTAGTTGTTTAAGGTGGCTTTGGTTCAGTAGCCTCTTGCTCATTGGCATGTTCACTGCAAACAACCCATGTATTATTTTATGGGACAAGATAGTCTGTGGAGCAGAAATGGTTCTGTAGATATTAACCCGTAAACGGTCCAAACGTATATATACGTTCACTACCGTACTGCCCCAACTTTTTTGAGAAAAAAAAAACATTATTGTTTTTTAATAGGAAAAAAGAGCATATGGTACCTAGGCATCTCCAATTATTTTAATATGGTGCACAGTGAGTGCTCACATTCATTCTCGCATGTCTAGGCGACTCTGGCTTATCGTGGCAATGTTAAATGTAGGACACACAAAACGTATATATACGTTTGGGGCACTAGCGGTAAAAACGTATATATACATTTGGACCGTTTACGGGTTAAAAAAAAATGGTGCAGCTTTTCTTGATACTGGTGATTAAAGAATTATACAAGTGTTCATTACTTTATTATATCAACAAGTCTCTATTTTCATAGATTGTTGGGCAATTGGCTGGAAGCGGCAAAAGATCTTCGACTGGCCTGTAAACTAGACTTTGATGAGCAAACAAATGAGTGGCTGAAAGAAGTACAACCAAATGTAAGTACAAATGAGTAATATTTTCCTAAATCAAATTCAAGAGAGTTAAGGGTCTTCTTAAGGAAGTTTTTGGTTGACAAGAAGGATATTTTAAATTCTTTTTATTAGCTAATTGTGTAGGCTATTCTAGTACTAAACTCCAGTACTATTCACATGTTCCTAAAATAACCTAGAGGTTTTTTTATCAATAAAAAAAAAGCAATTTGTTCTTAACCCGTAAATGGTCCAAGCAGATCTACGTTCACATGTGTAGTGCTACAAAAGTAGATCTACGTTTTTTTTTTTTTACATATTTTCAATTTTTTTTTTTCAAATGTAAAAAAAACAAAAAGATCATCTACTTTTCTTACTTTCAAATGTTGAAAAAACATATATACAGTGGACCCCCGCTTAACGATCACCTCCCAATGCGACCAATTATGTAAGTGTATGTAAGTGCGTTTGTACGTGTATGTTTGGGGGTCTGAAATGGACTAACCTACTTCACAATATTCCTTATGGGAACAAATTCGGTCAGTACTGGCACCTGAACATACTTTTGGAATGAAAAAATATCGTTAACCGGGGGTCCACTGTATACGTTTGGACCGTTTACGGGTTAAAGGCCATTATCTTAAGTGGAGAACATTGTAAATATGGAATCTGTTCTATATTGGCAGTTTTAGATAAGCATGTGACATGGCCTTTTGTAAACACTTTACATACAACAGTAATATATGGTTGGTCCTGATAGCTTTTCATGAACTGGAAATGTTTGGCTTAGAGACTGGATTGGGAGAAAAGTTCATATTCGTTTTTTTTTTTTTTTGTTTTATTGTTTGGAGACCATTTTCTGGACAAGCATAAAATTTCTGAAATAAATTTTTATTATTGATTTTGCATAATACTTTAAGGTATCTCAGAAGTTTCATTTAATTTTTGCTTGACTCTTAACATTGACAATGATTCTTTTAGACAACTAAATGGATTGATTGTACAAGACCACTTTTGTGATGAAATAGTTGTATTGGAATGGAAAAAGACATTGGCAGAGACGAGAAAAAGTAAGATACACCGATGAGCACCCCAAAGTATTAAGGTACAGTATTGGAGCTATGAAAAAATAGCATTATCTTGCATGGCACTTGCCTTTATCAACAGTTAATTTTCAACAGTATGCATTTTTCTATCTGGTCAACTCACCAGCACATCAAGGAAGATGCTTCATAATTAAAAGATGAAAGTCTAATACTAATTTTTAATTCTTTGATAGGCTACAAAGTTAGAAGAGCACAACCGCAAGTATGAGCGCCAGAGAAAAGATAAGGAGTTACGAGAGAAGAGAGAGAGGCTGCATAAAGCTCAAGAGGAAGCAAAGAAAGTAAGAATATTCGTACTGCTTTATCAGTCTGCATATTCTGCTAACTTTAAGTACCTGAATTTGAAATTATATATCATACACTATTAAGAGTAAGACGGAGAATAGGATAGCAGATGAACAAGGAGGCTTTAGGAAAGGTAGGGGGTGTGTGGACCAGGTGTTTACAGTGAAACATATAAGTGAACAGTATTTAGATAAGGCTAAAGAGGTCTTTGTGGCATTTATGGATTTGGAAAAGGCATATGACAGGGTGGATAGGGGGGCAATGTGGCAGATGTTGCAAGTGTATGGTGTAGGAGGTAGGTTACTGAAAGCAGTGAAGAGTTTTTACGAGGATAGTGAGGCTCAAGTTAGAGTATGTAGAAAAGAGGGAAATTTTTTCCCAGTAAAAGTAGGCCTTAGACAAGGATGTGTGATGTCACCGTGGTTGTTTAATATATTTATAGATGGGGTTGTAAGAGAAGTAAATGCGAGGGTCTTGGCAAGAGGCGTGGAGTTAAAAGATAAAGAATCACACACAGGGTGGGAGTTGTCACAGCTGCTCTTTGCTGATGACACTGTGCTCTTGGGAGATTCTGAAGAGAAGCTGCAGAGATTGGTGGATGAATTTGGTAGGGTGTGCAAAAGAAGAAAATTAAAGGTGAATACAGGAAAGAGTAAGGTTATGAGGATAACAAAAAGATTAGGTGATGAAAGATTGAATATCAGATTGGAGGGAGAGAGTATGGAGGAGGTGAACGTATTCAGATATTTGGGAGTGGACGTGTCAGCGGATGGGTCTATGAAAGATGAGGTGAATCATAGAATTGATGAGGGAAAGAGTGAGTGGTGCACTTAGGAGTCTGTGGAGACAGAGAACTTTGTCCTTGGAGGCAAAGAGGGGAATGTATGAGAGTATAGTTTTACCAACGCTCTTATATGGGTGTGAAGCATGGGTGATGAATGTTGCAGCGAGGAGAAGGCTGGAGGCAGTGGAGATGTCATGTCTGAGGGCAATGTGTGGTGTGAATATAATGCAGAGAATTCGTAGTTTGGAAGTTAGGAGGAGGTGCGGGATTACCAAAACTGTTGTCCAGAGGGCTGAGGAAGGGTTGTTGAGGTGGTTCGGACATGTAGAGAGAATGGAGCGAAACAGAATAACTTCAAGAGTGTATCAGTCTGTAGTGGAAGGAAGGCGGGTAGGGGTCGGCCTAGGAAGGGTTGGAGGGAGGGGGTAAAGGAGGTTTTGTGTGCGAGGGGCTTGGACTTCCAGCAGGCATGCGTGAGCGTGTTTGATAGGAGTGAATGGAGACAAATGGTTTTTAATACTTGACGTGCTGTTGGAGTGTGAGCAAAGTAACATTTATGAAGGGATTCAGGGAAACCGGCAGGCCGGACTTGAGTCCTGGAGATGGGAAGTACAGTGCCTGCACTCTGAAGGAGGGGTGTTAATGTTGCAGTTTAAAAACTGTAGTGTAAAGCACCCTTCTGGCAAGACAGTGATGGAGTGAATGATGGTGAAAGTTTTTCTTTTTCGGGCCACCCTGCCTTGGTGGGAATTGGCCAGTGTGATAATAAAAAAATAAAATAACACTATTCTTATTTGACACCTATTGATCAGTATTGAAAGAACTAGACTGTCAGTCTGTCCATTTGCTTTGTGGTATTGTTTCTACCAACAGTTTTGTTTATTACAGTTAAGGCAGTTCAGTTATGCGTTTAAAAATGTGCTGTACCTTTTTTCCATTAATTTGATACTTTCAGGCACAAGCTGAACAGGAGAAATCCGGAACCTCTTTCAATTTCTCGGGAGGAATGCCAGGAGGCAGCGGTCCAAGCGGAATGCCCAATATAGGAAACTTGTTCAAGGATCCTGATATTTTGGCAGCATTGCAAGTAAGACTACTTAGAAGTTTTCAGAGTTTTGCCTGTTTTATGGCTGTTTGTCCCAGCATGAGACATGTTGCAAGAGTAACATGCCTGTCATGCAATGAATGGTTGGGGCAGAAGAAGCCTTCAAACTTTGGATTGAATAGTTATCTACCCTTAAATCTTCCCTGCTCTGCAGTCCTGCCTTCTTAACTTAACCCTTTCACTAATATCACTACCATACACTGCTTGGTATACTCAAAAAGCTTATTGCCCTATAATTCTTACATTCCCTCCTGTACCCTTTTTCCTTATGCAAATGGAACTATGCAAACACCGCCCATCCTTTGGTATCCCCTCTTTCATCTATATTAAACAGATGCCAAACACTCCAGCACTATATCCCCACCTGGTTTTAGCATCTTAGATCTATCCCAGCTACTCTACCTCCCTTCCCTATCATTCTACCCACTGTCTCAGTGCCCACATCTACCCCACTCCTGTATGATGTTATCCTTCCTATCCTAACCCATGAAATCACTTCCTCTTTATTTAACATTCGGTGACTTTTCTCAAGCTATCAACTCTTTCCAGTACTTCTACCTCCCCTTTTTCATTTTTAATTGCTAAGTCCATTTTCTCTAGACTTCCTCACCTTATTGATCTATCTAAAACTGTTGCTTATTCTCAGCAAAATTTACTGATAGGCTTGCCCATTCTCTCATTGGCTTATTTTTCGTTCCCTCACCACTCTTTTTTTAATCTGCCTCTTCATCTCCTATGTACTCTAACTTTGTATATCATTTTTTACATTGTAAATACCTCTTGTATAATAATTTTCTCTTGCCACCCTCTTGATCTCCTCATTCCACCAGTCATTCCTCTTGTCATCTTCACCTACCTTATTTCCACAAACTTCTATTGCACACACTAGCAATGCATTTGTAAATTTACCTCATTTTCTGTACTTTCTCTTGCCTACCTTTTTCCCTAGCAGTTGCATAGATCTTTTTGAAACTCATCTTTAATTCATTTACTTTCACATCTTGCCTACTGGTGCCAGCCTCTTTGTACTTCATTTACGCGTTACTCTTTACCATAGCGAACCACTAAATGACTGACTGACATCTATTACTCCTCAAAAAAAAAAAAATTGTCTGTTAGGCATTTGTCTACTAATATGCAAGTTATTTTTTTTTTTTTTTTTTTTTTTTTTTTTTTTATCACACTGGCCGATTCCCACCAAGGCAGGGTGGCCCGAAAAAGAAAAAACTTTCACCATCATTCACTCCATCACTGTCTTGCCAGAAGGGTGCTTTACACTACAGTTTTTAAACTGCAACATTAACACCCCTCCTTCAGAGTGCAGGCACTGTACTTCCCATCTCCAGGACTCAAGTCCGGCCTGCCGGTTTCCCTGAACCCCTTCATAAATGTTACTTTGCTCACACTCCAACAGCACGTCAAGTATTAAAAACCATTTTGTCTCCATTCACTCCTATCAAACACGCTCATGCATACCTGCTGGAAGTCCAAGCCCCTCGCACACAAAACCTCCTTTACCCCCTCTCTCCAACCTTTCCTAGGCCGACCCCTACCCCGCCTTCCTTCCACTACAGACTGATACACTCTTGAAGTCATTCTGTTTCGCTCCATTCTCTCTACATGTCCGAACCACCTCAACAACCGTTCCTCAGCCCTCTGGACAACAGTTTTGGTAATCCCGCACCTCCTCCTAACTTCCAAACTACGAATTCTCTGCATTATATTCACACCACACACTGCCCTCAGACATGACATCTCCACTGCCTCCAGCCTTCTCCTTGCTGCAACATTCATCACCCATGCTTCACACCATATAAGAGCGTTGGTAAAACTATACTCTCATACATTCCCCTCTTTGCCTCCAAGGACAAAGTTCTTTGTCTCCACAGACTCCTAAGTGCACCACTCACTCTTTTTCCCTCATCAATTCTATGATTCACCTCATCTTTCAATAGACCCATCCGCTGACACGTCCACTCCCAAATATCTGAATACATTCACCTCCTCCATACTCTCTCCCTCCAATCTAATATTCAATCTTTCATCACCTAATCTTTTTGTTATCCTCATAACCTTACTCTTTCCTGTATTCACCTTTAATTTTCTTCTTTTGCACACCCTACCAAATTCATCCACCAATCTCTGCAACTTTCTTCAGAATCTCCCAAGAGCACAGTGTCATCAGCAAAGAGCAGCTGTGACAACTCCCACTTTGTGTGTGATTCTTTATCTTTTAACTCCACGCCTCTTGTCAAGACCCTCGCATTTACTTCTCTTACAACCCCATCTATAAATATATTAAACAACCACGGTGACATCACACATCCTTGTCTAAGGCCTACTTTTACTGGGAAATAATTTCCCTCTTTCCTACATACTCTAACTTGAGCCTCACTATCCTCGTAAAAACTCTTCACTGCTTTCAGTAACCTACCTCCTACACCATACACTTGCAACATCTGCCACATTGCCCCCCTATCCACCCTGTCATACGCCTTTTCCAAATCCATAAATGCCACAAAGACCTCTAGCCTTATCTAAATACTGTTCACTTATGTTTCACTGTAAACACCTGGTCCACACACCCCCTACCTTTCCTAAAGCCTCCTTGTTCATCTGCTATCTTATTCTCCGTCTTACTCTTAATTCTTTCAATAATAACTCTACCATACACTTTACCAGGTATACTCAGCAGACTTATCCCCCTATAATTTTTGCACTCTCTTTTATCCCCTTTGCCTTTATACAAAGGAACTATGCATGCTCTCTGCCAATCCCTAGGTACCTTACCCTCTTCCATACAGTTATTAAATAATTGCAAGTTAAGATAATACTGCTATTTCACCTTATGATACAATTTTTACTTTTTCTGTTCTCAAAATATTACCTATTACCAAACTCCTATGTATTTATTTTTCTCTGCACCCATCTCCTTCCCAAGTCAGGGTGATCCCCAAAGAAGAAATAATTCACCATCTTTCATTCAATTTCTGTCTTGCCAGAAGTGTGCTGACATCACATTTTAGATTACTTTCCAACTTCAACTTTATAATTGCCAGTTATTAAAGTCCCTACTTGAAGCAGCAGATAAGGCCAGCTAGATAATTGCTTGTGTTAAATGGCAGTTAAGTTGGTTAATGTCTTTATGAAGTAAAACAACTATGTACAACAATTAATATACCTCTATCTCTTATTAACAGGATCCAGAAGTTGCTGCAGCTTTCCAGGATGTGTCTGCCAATCCATCAAATATTTTCAAGTACCAGTCAAACCCAAAAATAGCATCAGTTATTAACAAACTGATTTCCAAACTTGGAGGTGGCAGTGAAGGTATGCCTGGAATGGGAGGCTTCCCCGAGACAGGTGGCTTTCCTGGAAAAGGTGGTTTCCCTGGGTCAGGTGGCTTCCCAGGAGGTCCTCCCTCTCAGAGTGGCAATGATGATCTTGATTAATGGAAGTTACAAAATGGCTATATTGTTTCTCCTCAACAAATTAGATTAATATTATTTTGAACATGCAAATAGGCAGGGATATATTTACAGATGAGGATACAGTATATGTATTTGTTTAGTTATGTTTACTTATTTCAATATTATTAAAATTAGTGTATAGAGTTCCTTGGATATTGGTCTCCTCTACTAGTGTATATTTTCTTTATTTACTTATAAAAGTTGTAATGTGGATATTGTCAAGGAAAAATTCTCTTAATAAAATTTATGATGTTTAAAATTCTCTTAAATCTTTTGTAATGGGTAGTTGTATTGCCATGTGGATTTTTTTTATTAAGCCAATTAATGAAAGCAACAAGTTCTTGGCTAATGGTAGTCTGCCATTAACAACTATTCACATGCAGTGTATAATCTTGTGTCCATTGAGAAATTTTCACTATCTATTCATTAGTATTCGACTCTAGTATTAGAGATTCTTCCTAATTGTATATGATGTATGGCCATTGTCTTGCCGGGGGAAGGAGGGTGCAATTTTGACTGACGTCTTAGCCCCCACTTGTAATTTTCCTCGTCAGGGCGGTATTGACCTGTAAAGGCAGCTAATAGTGTCCCTTTCATTTACTGTGCTTAGAAACTTTTATGTATTTCCACCCAACTGGAATTTGAGTTTACCAATGATGCTGTTACCTTTGAGTTCCCAAAATGCTTATTTTGAGTGGATAAATGGGAAATGGTTTGGCAGAACAACTTAATAAATTTGTTTGATGTACATTGCTTGTTTGTTGTCTGATGGCAAGTTGCATTCTCATTTATTTGCTAATTAAAAAGATCTTTAAAGGGGGGGTTCCTTTATTAACCCTTAAACTGTCCAAGCAGATCTATGTTCACATACATAGTGCTCCAAAAGTAGATCTACATTTGTTTACACATTTTCAAATGTAAAAAAAAAAAAAACTTTTTATTTTTTACATACTTTCAAATGTTGAAAAAACGTAGATCTACGTTTGGACAGTTTAAGGGTTAAGGGCTCCTGCTCTTCGGAATTGAAGCTACCCTTCCCTTCCTCAGATTAAAACTTAATTGTTCCTTTACCTACCTACCTATCTCTCTTGCTCTCTCCCTCATCCCTCCCCCTGCCCCCAGTAATATGCCTTGTATACTTTGCCCCACCCATTGCCAGGAATTTTAATCAGTTTCTTACTTTTGACATTGACAAAATTTTGTATTCTGTGTCATAGCCTGCACAATGCAGAACTTTCCTGGTTTCTTCATAGTTTTGACTTTGTTATAGGTTTTGATGTGGAGCGAATTTTGGATTGTGTTTAAAGTGGCACCATGGGGAACCTCCTTTGCTCTCGTGCAGCTATATATTTTTGGCAGATTTTCGAGTTTTTATGTAGAACCTTTTTGGGATTTTGTACACCTTATGCTCTTATGTGCATGTTTTTTACATGAGCCATACTTGTTTGGCTTTTTTTTTTTCTATGGATGCTGTGCTGCTTTGTAAGACGAATAATTAAAAATAAATGTGAAAGGCAAGAGCTTGAGCCTCCTGCAAGCACATGTGTGTGTGTTGGATCAAAATAACTGGAGGAGAGTAGTATTTAGGAATTGATGTGCCATTGGAGTGTGAGCCTGGGAATATGAGATTGGTGGGATATAATTGGATTGCAGTGTTTGTGCACATCTGGAAAGACAAGGGGGGTGAAGAATGATAACTGTTGTCTTTGGGTCAACCTTAATGGAATTTTTTTTTATGAAAGCTATTTACTCTAAACTTCAAAATAACAAAAATTAATGATATATAAGCTTGGATTCAGGTATAACACACTGATCTATGCAAAGTGAGAAGCCACTTAGAGAAATGTAATTGAGAAGAGATCTGTATACTGTATTTCAGCCTTGGTCAGAGGTCATCTGTTGCAGTAGTTTTGAGGCTAAACACAGATCTCTTAGCTGTTAATAAATCTGTCAGTTATTTCTCACTCTGTACAATCATATTTTATATAGTGTAATATATGTATATAAGTTAGACCAGAATTAGAATACAAAGCAGTAGTGTAGTTTGGTGTCCTTGCCAGGAAAATATTGAATACTGGATAGTGTTCTCAAAGTGGATCTCAGTTTAGACATTACAAATAATGAGAGCATTGGAAATGTTTGTTAAACATGAGGTAAAAGCTAGATATAAAAAGACTGTAGTATGCACTTCAACCACTGGGAACTTTAAAAAAGCAGAGTATTATGTTGAATATGAGGTAATGAAAGTATAATTTTGCTTCTACATATAGGTAATCATGTACTGCTTCGATGGGTAGGCTGGTCTATAGGTGTAGCACTCGAGATGAATTTCCTGCGTTGACTAAGAACATAAATTGATACAAAAAAGTCTAGACAAAACTTTGTATTATTTACCATAAGTTACTTAAAAATCCAAAAAACCCTTTAACTCAGGGTTTAGTATTTTTTGAAAGACATGATAATACTGGTTTTACTTTTATATTCATAGCTATATGACCTATCCCTTCATGGGAAGGTCTGTGATGCTGGAGATGGACCTTTGATCTAATGACCCCTCAATGCAGGTTCCTTAATCCTAGGAACTTGATCTAGTCTTCCCTCTCCCCTTGGATCAGTCCTGAATGCCTGGCATTCACCAAGGACTAATGATTTCCGAGTTAGTGTTTCCACATGAAGTTTTGCACAAGTGAGAAACTCTGGTAACAGAAAAGTGCTGCTTTGCTTAGCCTTGATGCTAGTGAGGGGTTCTTGATTAAAAGGCAGTGCTGTGTGACCCTTGTGGGTTTAGCACTTGGTTTGAATATAATCTTGATTAAAGGATTTGAACCTTTACCCCCCTCTCTTCCATGAATTGAACCTGATTACCTGGAGAGAGAGTTTCGGGGGTCAACGCCCCCGCGGCCCGGTCTGTGACCAGGCCTCTCATTCCCCCAGGCATTGTATGACTTCTATGGATTTAGTCCCCTCCCCTTCTCCCATGTCATGAATAGAGTAATTGAAACACCCATTGACCAGTATTTGTGTGATGGGTTTAGCACTTCCTTTTGATTATAATGACCAGTACCCCTCAAGGAAGGTTCCTTGATGTTGGTGAGGGGCTCTTGATTTAGGGAATTGGATCTGTGCTCCAGTTCCCCGAATTAAGCCTGAATGCCTTCCACATCCCCCCCCCAGGCGCTGTATAATCCTCCCCCCTCAAGGAAGGTTCCTTGATGTTGGTGAGGGGCTCTTGATTTAGGGAATTGGATCTGTGTTCCAGTTCCCCGAATTAAGCCTGAATGCCTTCCACCTCCCCCCCAGGCGCTGTATAATCCTCCGGGTTTAGCGCTTCCCCCTTGATTATAATAATAATAATGTATAATCCTCCGGGTTTAGCGCTTCCCCCTTGATTATAATAATAATAATAATGACCAGTATTTGTAGTTTTAATCTACATGCTTTTGTAGGGCGAGTGTGTGACCCATTTGGGGTCTTAAAGGAGGTTCATTGATGCCAGTGAGGGGCTCCTGATACAAGGACTGAATCTGATTGCCTCCACTTCCCCAGGCGCTCTATGACCTGTGTAGGTTTAGCGCTTCCCCTAAATGTAATGATGTATGACCCATATATAAGTTTAATGGAAGATTCTACAGTCAGCTGTTTAGCACTTGTGAATGTAATAATTCTAACATTGCATGAACTTTGACTTGCCCTTTTGCACTTAGCTTCCCTACACAAACCTTTTCTCTACTTTTAAGCATTGAATGATCCATTCAGGTTTGCTTCCTAAAGGTGATGATGCTGATGAAGGGTTCTTGATCCCAGATGCGCTGTATGACCCTTGTCAGTTTAGCTTTCCTTGATTATAATAATATTGAGCCAGAGAATTTAATTGAACCTGATTAGTCCCTATTTCGTTGGTGATCTGTTCCTTATCTTCGGAGCCCTTCGAGGGAGGTTCCTTGATGCTGGTGAGGGGCTCTTGACCTAGGGAATTGGATCTGTGCTCCAGTTCCCTGAATCAAGCCTAAATACCTTCCATCCTCCCCCCCAAAGCGCTGTACAATCCTGCAGGTTGAGCGCTTCCCATGGCCATAATAATAAAATCATGGTGTGGGTAGTAGTTCCATGATATGGGCAGTAAAAGAAAAAGAATCCAAATTAATCAAAATTGTTAACCCGGAGGGTTCGTAAGTTCATTCAGGTATACACATATACATAGCAACATATGTGTAGGAACTTAGGATAACCCAAAGAAGTCAGAGTGACTTATTTCCATTGGGATTCTTTTGATAATTATTATTTACATTTAGCGGTTAAAAACAGGTATCTTAATTATGTAAAAGCAGTTACAATAAAAGAAGATATACTAGGGGAGAAGTGTGTGTGTGTGTGTAGATATATATATATATTTTTTTTTTTCCAACAAGTCGGCCGTCTCCCACCGAGGCAGGGTGACCCAAAAAAGAAAGAAAATCCCCAAAAAGAAAATACTTTCATCATTCAACACTTTTACCACACTCGCACATTATCAATGTTTTTGCAGAGGTGCTCAGAATACAACAGTTTAGAAGCATACACATATAAAGATACACAACACATCCCTCCAAACTGCCAATATCCCAAACCCCTCCTTTAAAGTGCAGGCATTGTACTTCCCATTTCCAGGACTCAAGTCCGACTATATGAAAATAACCGGTTTCCCTGAATCCCTTCACTAAATATTACCCTGCTCACACTCCAACAGATCGTCAGGTCCCAAGTACCATTCGTCTCCATTCACTCCTATCTAACACGCTCACGCACGCTTGCTGGAAGTCCAAGCCCCTTGCCCACAAAACCTCCTTTACCCCCTCTCTCCAACCCTTTCGAGGACGACCCCTACCCCGCCTTCCTTCCCCTATAGATTTATATGCTTTCCATGTCATTCTACTTTGATCCATTCTCTCTAAATGACCAAACCACCTCAACAACCCCTCTTCTGCCCTCTGACTAATACTTTTATTAACTCCACACCTTTTTCTAATTTCCACACTCCGACCCCTCAAGGAAGGTTCCTTGATGTTGGTGAGGGGCTCTTGATTTAGGGAATTGGATCTGTGCTCCAGTTCCCCGAATTAAGCCTGAATGCCTTCCACATCCCCCCCCCCAGGCGCTGTATAATCCTCCGGGTTTAGCGCTTCCCCCTTGATTATAATAATAATAATCCACACTCCGAATTTTCTGCATAATATTTACACCACACATTGCCCTTAAACAGGACATCTCCACTGCCTCCAACCGTCTCCTTGCTGCTGCATTTACCACCCAAGCTTCACACCCATATAAGAGTGTTGGTACTACTATACTTTCATACATTCCCTTCTTTGCCTCCATAGATAACGTTTTTTGACTCCACATATACCTCAACGCACCACTCACCTTTTTTCCCTCATCAATTCTATGATTAACCTCATCCTTCATAAATCCATCCGCCAACACGTCAACTCCCAAGTATCTGAAAACATTCACTTCTTTCATACTACTCCTCCCCAATTTGATATCCAATTTTTCTTTATCTAAATCATTTGACAAAAAAAAAAAAGGCTTCAAGGAAGAATATTTGGATTTCTTCCTGAAGCCATTTGAATATTCCACTTTCCCTACCACCCCTTCTTTTCATATTTTTTTTTTTACCAATAGGAATATTTTATTACATAATATGGTACCGAAGATTTAAGAGATACATTGTTGATACAAAGGGGGCATATATGGTACATGTAGTTACGTGTGTATCACCGATTATAAGGCAAAAAGCTCGTCCAGCTCAGAGCTGGGGCGTGTGCCCAAAATACAGCAGGCATTACCCCTTTGAACAGCCGCACTAAGCTGCTGGAACAGAAAACTAGCTGCCCTGGGATCCCTAGTTACCGTGATGAGTCTTTCCCAGCTCCTTAAGGAATTTAGATGCACTCTTTCCCCATGAGCCAAGGGTCTCTGAGCCTATGGGAACAAACATATAATGATGGGCAAGTTCTCCATATTTTCTAAACTTTTGGGACTCCCTGAAGCTGGCAGCTGCCCCTCCTTCCTCTCTGGTGTATTGGAGATAGGTATCAGCCAAGGTAGATGCACATGTATAGTCCCACACCACCTGCTTCCCGTCTGTCCAGGCTTGAAGGGTGATACCATCTGGACGCTTCTGGCTGCCATCAGATCTGCATAGCTGGGATGGCTCCCTTACTGCTGGGCATCCGGCTGTTGTGAGGCTCCTCTTGATAATGTTATTAACCTCCTCAGGTCTTGCAATCTTTCCCTCGGATTTACGGCACACAAGACCATGGTACCCGAATCGGTCTGCTGCTTCACTGCCACAAATACACCTGTGTTTGGCGAGAATAGGAGCAGCAAGTGGAAGGGCAACAGCAATGCGGATGGTCTGTGGGTCGAGGTGTGTGCCAAGGCTGGAGTTGGGAACAGCCAACAGAAAGTCCCCTGCATGAGGGGCTCTCACTGCCAGGAGGCGACTCTATCCTTCCCTGACACACTCTGAAGCATTGTAGAGGCTATATTTCCCACTACTGGGGCATCCCAGTGCGATTGTTTGTAGTTGTTGGGGGGAGCAGGTCTGGTTTCAGAGCCCGTTAGATTATCCCAGATCATGGCTCCATCAATGAACTTTTGGCCCTGGACTCCAATCTAATCCCTAAGATGTTCAGGGAGAATCGCTGCTACAAGCTCTCTGGATTCAATACATGCAACACACACACAGGAATGAGGAACTTCCTGAATGAGGTTCAGTGGGACAGAGAACTGGCAGGGAAGCCAGTTAATGAGAGGATGGAATATGTAGCAACAATGTGCAAGGAGGCTGAGGAGAGGTTTGTACCCAAGGGTAACAGGAATAATGAAAAAGCCAGGATGAGCCCATGGTTCACCCAAAGATGCAAGGAGGCAAAAACCAAGTGTGCTAGGGAATGGAAGAAATATAGAAGGCAAAGGACCCAGGAGAATAAGGAGAGCAGTTGTAGAGCCAGAAACGAATATGCACAGATAAGAAGGGAGGCCCAGCGTCAATATGAAAATGACATAGCAGCAAAAGCCAAATCTGACCCGAAGCTGTTATACAGCCACATCAGGAAGAAAACAACCGTTAAGGACCAGGTAATCAGGCTAAGGAAGGAAGGAGGAGAGACAACATGAAATGACCGTGAAGTATGTGAGGAACTCAACAAGAGATTCAAAGAAGTGTTCACAGAGGAGACAGAAGGGGCTCCAGAAAGACAGAGAGGTGGGGTACACCACCATGTGCTGGACACAGTACACACAACCGAGGAAGAAGTGAAGAGGCTTCTGGGTGAGCTAGATACCTCAAAGGCAATGGGGCCAGATAACATCTCTCCATGGGTCCTGAGAGAGGG